CTCATTAGAGAGTTCAATGTAGTCATTTATAAATTGTTATCAATAATTCATTATCAAACTACTTACGCGTAGTTATGCTGCTGCATCTGACTCCAGCATCTTCCGTGTGTCTACAGTTACTAGTGCTTGTATGTGAGCAGTTAACGAGAAATAATTCAGTTCCAGTACACTGTACATCATCCATCACTATGTTTCCTGTTCCCTGCCCAAAGTATGCATTAGGCAATGCAGTCCCTAACAAAATAATTAAATAGACTACTGTAAAAGTATTTTTGATATGCTTGAAAAATATTTTTATTACAAATTTCATTGTCCTCGGCTACCAGTAAGTCATATTATACTAATCAGCTGGATTGCAGTTACACTATTTTCAAGACATAGAAGTACATTGTGCTTGAATAACTTATAACTAATTATAGACTATAATGGCCAACAAATAAATAAGTCCAAATACTCAAATTACAACTAAATAATAATGGTGACACACCTCTAGTATCATGCCCCAACTGTCGACAGACAACTGTAGCATCATCACTATCCCAAGAGTCATCACAAACAGTGCCATAAGCTCCATTAATGCATACTTCAACACGTCCTTCCATACTATTGGATCCACCAACAAGACGTATAGTTCCACTAACACAACCTGGGAAAATACATATTAAAACAAAACAGTAACACCAATAATATATTCAATGTTATAAGGTCATGCAAAGCTGCAATACATCAAATTACTCATTTTGTACAACATTTGAGCTAATTTCACTTACGACAAGTTTCAGTAGTCACAGTCAATTTAGTTGAACTATCACTTTCTCCTAAGTAGATTATAATTTATATAAGTAATAAGAAAAACTAACTGCACTGTAAAGTGACATCACGTAAATGTGTACAATTTGATATTGAAGTAGTTGGACATGTATTGCTTGAATTAAAACAAGTACCAGAAATAGAGCTCACAATATCTAAGCTCCATATGGGTTGATTAGGTGAGCCAGTTCTATGCCAATACACGATTATATACACTTGTACATATGTGCACTTAATGATGAATCTTACAATTCTAAATGGTTATAAGTATGATGATTGTCATATCCTAGCTGCCTGCAAAGAGTGCTTGCACTAAGTGAGTCAAAACCAGCATTGCATAAAGTACCCCACTCTCCATTACAATAAATTTCAACTCGCCCTTGACTGGAGAATGTAGCTCCTTGAAGACGTATCATTCCAGGAAATGGAGCATTCCATATCCTAGTGGTATCTGCAACAAATAAATTTATAGTATTTGTAAATAAGCTAATACTTACAGCAGCTGACAGTAGCATCATTAGAGTTTGAATTAACACATGCACTATTACTATTAGTAGTAGTAATAGAATAGGAGCATTGAGCAATAGATAAATAATTGCTGTCACTACAGCTGACTTGATCCCATATTACAGGAAGTTGATCTGTGCCATAACTAAACACACAATGATTTAAAAGCATAGCTACTATACAGTATAATTACTTTGTTAGTCCAGCTCTAGAGTAGCTTGAAGCTCCAGTGTATCCCAACTGATGACAAATGACATTAGCTTCAGCCGAACCATAAAAGCTATCATCACAAATATTACCCCAGCTTCTACTATAATAGACTCTCACTACTCCACTACTGTAAGTGGTTAATGCCAAATTGTTACGTGAGAGAATTACTGTTCCTGGTGAGCGTACTATTGAATATTAATTATAAAACAAGATAGATAACTGAAGCAAGTTTTTTGTTGATAATTTAGTTCATTTAGTTAATTTTTTGAATCTATTATTTATAATCACCTCATCTGAATAAAAAGTAATTCAAACAAAATGACAATTATATCATGCAGATATATGACAAAAAAATTCTTATAAGAGTAAAGATATAAAATATAGACACTACCATGCATAGTCTATGATAATGGCCATCCCTTTTTTGAAAAATAATGCCTATGTTATGCAGCACAAATTAAACACTTAAGCTGTGACCAAAACATTGATCATTAAAAAACAGCTACACATTAGATACATAAAATTGAGTTATGAATGTAAACACAATTTTTAGTAGAGTATGACTAAAGGTGGATTCTTAATATGATGCATGTGCGTTCATCACGACCGGAAGTGCTATATAAACCAATGGGAGCATGCATCAATGCATCAGATTAGAAAACATTTCTATTCTGCCGCATTGACGCATACTCCCATTGGTTTGTACAGCACTTCCGGTCATGACGCTAGCACATAAAAAGCAATGCATCATATTGAGCACCCACCTTAAGGCTTAACAAACTATAACAAACTAATAAGCAAAACAGAAGATCACAAACAACTTAGCAATCATATCACACAATGTGACAAGCAATAAACAGACGTTACAAAACCAAAACTTACTTTCAATAAGGCAAAACACACTGACATCATCATCATGCTCACAACTTGACTCAACAGAACTATAATTACAATGTATTAAAGTGTCCTCAGTTCCAGTGCACTGTAAATTATCAAGGAATATTCTACCAGATCCTTTGCCATAAAAAGCATTAACAAAGAATATACCTCCCTGGTAACGAGCTATATCCATAATCATTATTAATAAAATAAGACATTCTTCTTACTTAAACGGTTCTGTCCCAGTTGTTTGCAGACAACCTGAGCATTAAGATTAGTCCAGCCATTATCACAGACAGTGCCCCATTCATTATCAATACATATTTCTAAACGCCCACTACCAATGTAAGAACCATCAACCAGACGTATTGAGCCATGAGTACAGTTATCTATAGCATAATAATAAAAATAAAATAGAAAGTCATTATAAAAGGTACGTGTGCTAGGACAGACTACTCCAACATCATCATGATGTCCACAATCATGTGATAGAGGAAGTGAATGACTGCACTGTTGTATCAGTGAAGCTTCAGTTCCATCACAGCGAACATTATCAAGTATTATAGAACCATTCCCTTGTCCAAAATATGCATTACTGTAGTAGTAGGCACCTATAACAATAGAAAAATACAATAGTTTTTAGACTTAAAATGTAATTTAATTTGTTCTGATTTTTTAAACAATGATATACACAAGTTGTCAGTACTACATGCAGAATATTTTTGGTGTTTCAATATTTGACTAATTACAGCAGTGCCATGTTTCTATTGGTTTATAAAACAACACAGCTCTGTTCCCAATTAAGTATTATAATAATAACAAAAACCATTTCAAAGCATAGTAATATATATATATAGAAAGAGGATGAAAACATGTTTGTTGACTTTCACAGTTTATACAATCCCATAAATGTCATTTATAAACTAACAGAAGGGTCAATAACATCTAATTGGTTCTAGCTGTTTTTGTGGAATGATACTTTACACAACAATTGTCTTAGTTTCAGATCTACTATTATAGTTCCCTGTTTCTCACTATAAATGGTTTAAATTTTGTTAGCCAATACATGCAACCATGAGATGAACATAATAATTGAGAGTAGTATCATGAATTTATTTCTCAATGTGTTGTTAATATCTTGAGATAAAAGTAATGTGTCTACATATGTGCATGTACATGTAAATACACTAGCCTATAGTAGAGAATCCAAGCTGTCTACATACAACTTGAGCATTAGCCTCACTCCAGTTATCATCACAAATTGTTCCCCAAGTGTTATTATAGCATATCTCCACACGCCCTTCAAACATTGAACTGCCATTGACAAGCTGAAGTGCACCAAGATCACAATCACCTAATAAAGGTGATATAGACAAATCAACTTTTTGATATGAAATGATTTTTTAAATAAGCTAGTAACAATGTAGCAAAACAATTTTATTTTTTTAATGCAATAAATACAAAATATTCTGTAAAGATAACAGCAAAGTTAGTTACTGCAATAATACAAAACCAGATATTTTAACAAGTTTATAGTCTTGGAAATCATTTACAATAATTGTATCAATTCTTATGTAGTAGATCTATCACTTTGTAAGTATAAATTTGCACTCAAGTACACTATTATGGCAATACATATAGTAGTGCTCACAAAAGCATGCAGTGCTTATTTTATAACATTTATTTAAGCTATCACTCATAATTCTTACCCAGGACTTGCTTAATGATACTGCTACTGAAAGCCACTGCAATTAATATTCTCAGGAACACAAACATTGCAAAATTTATTTTAGGATCTAAGAAATAGTCGGACTGAAATTTATTTATATAATAAATGGGAAAGGGTTGAAACAGGAACTGATTGACATTGAATAACAATCACAGTTGGTGCATTGGTCCACCAAAATGAAAATGGCCACTATCTGTTTATTGTTACTGTACTACATGGGTATCAAAGTCTACTATTTTAAAACTAATTTTAACAAAATTATTATTCATAAAAGTTCTTTTAAAATGATTTTTAAGAATGTGTGTTTTTAACAAATAAATCTATGCTTCTGATGTTGCAGACACTAATCTAAAAGTGGGAAGTCATTATTAGTTGCCCTAATTATACTCAGTCTTTAGCAGATGCTGATTATGAATAATTATGCTTATGCATCTGGTCCATTTGTTCTAAATGTTGAATATTGTATTGTAAACAATAAACTTAAAAGAGAAAGAGAGATACACAAAAGAACAGGAATACACTAAGGAGTATAAAACAGGGTTAATCAAATTGCATCACTATTATACCATCAAGAGTAGTTAGCAAAAAATTTTCGAGGGCTGTAAATTTTGTGAATTTGCCTTAAAATTTATTTTGCGGAATTATCTTTTGCGAATTAATACCATCTGCTATTTTGTGCCCCAATAAAAATTTCTCAGAAGTAATTTCCGCAAATCTTCATAAAATTGCAATATCCACAAAATTTACTGCCCTTGAAAATTTTTCTGTGGTTAACTTTGTAATATCCTATCATTGTGGTTAGTCTTTACACTTAAGTATACCATTATGGCAATACATAGTGACCTATCATTGTGATTAGTCTGTGGTTAACTATGTAAACAGTAATGACTACATTAACCATAAATACTATAAATCATTCTATTATTATTATTATTATTATAAAGAAAGAAAAAACACAATACAACACAACACAAACACAATAAAACACAATAAGGACAAAACAAGAAAGAAGTGAAACAAAACAAAACGAAAGATTAAAGAAACAATACTATTATTATTATTATTTATAATAGACTTTACAGCACAAAAACAAGAGTCAAACAACATAGGAATAATCCTAGTGTGTGCTTTAAGGGAACCCAGTAAATACACTGGGCTCTTATTGCAACACTGCATTCAAAGTGGGGGCCTGGGAGGCTCTAGCCACCTCCCCCAGATTCTTAACTACATAAAAACTGAAACTTATAGGCATTACACAGGTTTTTCAGTTTATAACTACAATAATAACTATATAATTATTTGAGTAACTGATAATATTGAACAGAAATAGACACTAGATCTATGTGCATGTAAGATTAATACATAACAAAAATTACACAGTGAAGACCTATAGAAGCAAGTTCAGACCATATAAAAATTTGGGGCTCCAACAATTGCAAAAGGTGGGAGGCTTCTTGGATTTGGATCTCCAGCCCACAATCAGTGCCGGATGTCACCTCGGATGTCACAGTATGTTTCAAAAAATTGTTTCAAGTTTAAAGCTTGCTTTTTTAAATGTATAAGTGCTTGCTTTTTTAAATGTATAAGTACTTGCCTCTTTTGGATCAGGCTCAGTCCAGCCTCAAACTCTTATGAAAGTACTCTGCAAACAGTCACCCATCCCATCACATTTGGAATTTAGAAAAGGGGAGGTGCTTGTAGATCTACACTGTCTATAGACCATGTTCGAGGATATTCTAAATGGATCTGTAATCATTCTTTCTTTCATTATAAAACTTCCTCAGGTATGGACAACATACACAATGAAACGTACGAAAGGTGTCAGCTTAAGAGGATACTGGATGGAATTATTTGGGTAAATTGCTTGGTAAACAGGAACCCGGTCTATCGAGTAGTCTATTTTATTGTTTAGGTATGTTATTATGGTTTCATACTGCTTTCATAATAAATATCCAATTAAGAATTACCTTGATGTTCTTCTTTGTTCCATTCAATGTAAGTTAGTACATGTATACAATAGCTTTTAAGCTGTAAAGTTTTTTGTTTTATTTCTTGGGGTGTATGAAGGGGTGGGGCCAGACTACTTGCCATGCAAATGAGATTTTAATGATATTCACTGAGCTGTATTTAGACAGCCATCATTGTACATTCATACTACCCATGCTGTCGATCCCCTCGGCACTAAGACATTTCAAGGAATAATATTATTGTTCCAATGATAATTATTATGGTATTCCCCACCATGTAAATTACTAACAGAAAGAAGGCCAGGGTCAAATGTGACAACACTGGTTTTGCCATTTCTAGGAGTGCTGCATGCTATTTTGTCAACTCATCATAATTGGAAATTGCCAAAAAAATAGAAAAAGGCAAATAAATTTTAAATGCTAATGTAATGATTGCTTTTAAAAGTACCATTCAAAAGCTGTCAAGGCAAAATAACATTTTTCCCAAATTGAAATTTTTTAAACCATGGCCTTGACCAGGGTTTTCCACAAAGCATGCTAAGTGAGCTAAAAAGATGCAGAGCCTAAAATTACATTCAAACAATGTTCAGACATTATGTGTCAACATTGCTTAATTTGATCTGTCATTATTTTTATTGAAACGGTCTGTTAGGTTGGACAGGGTTTTGCCACAGGATTGTGGTATAGCCCTTATGTAGCCACTTGTCCCAGTACCATAATACATGTTATTTAGGCAAAAAAAATCAAAAGGAGAGAATTTTCCGTTCTTATAATTTTTTCTGATGAATTTGCCATATACCCTCAAATAAAAGCCAGGTGCAAATAAATGCCAGGTTAGCAATAAAATGGAACTATAAATGCGCAAATTTAGCCTTTCACCAACATAGATGCTTTGTAGGTACCTCCTTAAGCCTGGTTTACACTCAACGAAACAGTCAAAAAAACGTGGGCGATTTGACCTTTTGACGCAAAAACACTTTGAAGTTGATGCAAAATTGGTCAAATTTCAATTTAGCATTCATTTGTGTTGCATTTTATAGCAAGTGTAAACCAGTCTTTAAGCTTCCTGAAGTCACTTGCTTGAGGTCCCAGGTTCGAATCCCGCTGTTGACTCAAGTTTTATTTTATTTCGAAAAATTTTTAAGGTAGGGTAGGAGCACATTTTTACTATTATAGTTAAACCACACCCGTCTAGTAAAATGGTTACCAATGTGAAGATTAGAAGTTGTTAGTGTTTACCACTCAAAATGCTATGCTAGGAGCAGAGTTATTGAAAGAAGTTGAATAGATAAGTATGCTACCCTGAAATTTTAGCTATTTTAAAGTAGAATAATCTCTCAATCAAGTGCAGCAAGTCTCGGTAGTAACTTGATTCAGAGATAATTCACTACTGTAAATAGCTAAGATTATAGGGTACATTGTAGCATACTTATTTTTTCAAATTCTTTCAATAATTATGTTGCTGGCATAGCATTTTGAGTTGTAAACAGCTTCTTACACTGGTAGCCATTACTAGACGGGTGTGGTTTAACTTGTGCTAAAAATAGTAACAACATTAAGATATGCAGGCACAAGCTTTTGCTGTTATTTTAATTAATTGCGTGGGAGTTTTGCGCTCCTACCTTGCTTTTTTTATGGGCTCCTGGAAATAGATACCTGGGCTTTTATTTGAGGAAATATGGTACATGTTTTTATGCTCTTTAGTTTGAGCTGAGTCCAATTTAAATTGAATTTTTGAGAATTTTTAAACTCACTAAAAAATCAGGCCAAAGTGCCTTGTACTATAGGATACAGATTTTTGGCCAAATTTCATCAAAAATAAAAAGTAGAGAACATTTTTGTACTTTTTTATACATGTTTTTCATACTGTGTAGAAAGTTTGATTTGATTTTGGCTTTGCAAAGAATTTCCTCCTATGGCAAGAGCTGGCCAAAGACATGTATAGTACACAGACTTGTTCTAATTTTTAAATAACTTTAAAATTTGTAAAATAACATCCAATTTTTATTCGATTTAGCCGTACAACACAAAAAACATGTATACATACTTAAAAAAACTCTCAGCTAGCAATTAATAAAAATACCCTGTAATAGTATATGATATTTGTGACCATAATTGACAAAAGGTACCTTATGGCGGATTTTAAAATTCATCATTATAATAAAAAATATCAACCTGTGACTTCTCTGTTGGACATCTATTGTGTTTAAAAGTTGCATAGTAACTTTTTGCATCCTGTAGAGTAATTTTATGATAAATAGAGCTCAGGAAGTTGGATTTTCTTGGCTATAAAGACGAATTTCACTACCCGCCATAAGGTACCTTTTGTCAATTATGGTCACATTTTGTCAAATTTTTGAGTAAACTTTAAAATTCACTGACTGCATTAGCACTATGCCAAAATTTTGTGAGAAACTCAAACCCTGCCCTTGACCAAAATTTGATCATTTTGCATCTTTTACTAAATAATTTTATTATTATCAGTTAGAACTTATATTTTATGCAAGAATTGATTGAATAAAATAATTTAAATAACTTTATTTTTGTAGCTGCCATCATTGTTTTTTTAGTAATATTATACAAAGGAGGTAAAGCTTTCAGTCTTGAAAATAAAGCATGTATCACATGGTTAGTTACTATTTGAATTGTTATTATTATTGTTATAAATTTCTGTTCCAGTATCATTTTGTTCCTGTTGTCTGCACTGCTACACTTCATACCAAATACAGTTTTTTCAATCCTTCTGGTCAGTAGCTATTGTACATGTCCTTTATCATTAACATTTTAATGTATGTAGCTGAGTCGAATACCTGTGATGTCCCTTAGCAAGTGCTTGCACATTCAAGCACTTTATTCCAGTAAGACATCTGCTAATGTTAGTGCCTTAACATGGGGTATTTCTGCTTATAATTGCTTTGGTAAGTGATATTAATGCACTTTATGAATTTCATTCCTAATTTTCAGTTCGTGTGTGGACTTCACTGTATAATTTGAATGATTATATAGTCACTGCCAGTTATCTGACTAATGCAGTACTCAATAGTGTTTTACTCATTGAATGTTTATATTATCGCTTTTATTAGTCTCATTGTGTACAAGTATTTTACATATTTTTGTCAATTCAATTTCAATATGAAGCCTAAAAATTCAAGACTGAATACTAGCTGCTTTGCAATTTCAAAAAAGATACAAGTACAATATATTTTATTATTTGTAATCAAATCAAAAAAAGAGATTGTAAAACTAGACGATTTAAAGACAAAAAATAATTATCGTTAAATTGGTTAACTTGTCAAAAACTACAATAACTATTTAGAATAATTGCTAGCTAAAAATTAGACAACCAAAGAAAAGTATGCACACATTTACTTGTAAATTTATGCCGCCAAGTTAGTCAGCTGAAGATTCCAGTAAAGGTTCACGTAACCTAGGAATCACAGTAGTTGGTACAGTAGTCTTAGGAAGTGGTTCAGTTGCACTTTCCTTTAACTGCACTGTCTTGTGCTTTCTCATGCTCATTTTAATTTTTGTCCAAGGGACACAAATATACACATGATAGACCATTATAGCTAAGAAACTAATCAAACTCAGTGACAGTGTGGTACCAATACCTACTCTTGTACTCTGTCTCGAAAGATCAGGCGCTCTACTATTGTCCCTACAATTTTGAGTCAAGGATCCACGAGTAACATAGCAAATGATTAGAAGACAGACAAGGTATGATATATCAAGACTCTGAATTTTTTTATTTTTGTACACTGAAACATAGCTCATTGTTATTATAAGAACTGCCGTTAGTGCCACTAGAACCCCCAAAGTAACTTCACTCACTGGATCCAATGCTGCAACTGTAGATAGCATAATCACAATCCTGGCAAGTAAAAGCAAACCAGGCCAGATACGAAACATGTCAGTATGTGGACCTGCATAAGCATCAAAGAATGGCTTTAATTTAGGTATAAACTGGTGCAAATGCTCCATTTAGAACGACAAAGTTCCCATAAAGGAAAAAACAATAGGAACAATGTATATGGAACAAATAGTACTACCAGTACTATTAATGCAATAATGAAAAGAACCAAATGGCAGCCAGACAAGTATGGCTCAGCATTGTTAAACCAAACAGCACCAATTGATCTACATGTTGAAACTGGATTAACAAATATGAAAATCGAAATCAGTGTACGAAGGATTTTAGTGTACGAGAGAAGTAGAAGAGTACATAAAACAGGAACTGCATTGTTACCAATCAACTGTGAAAGCTTCGATGATCTTTGACTGAGCATAATGATTAGAAAAATTAAGAACCAAAGGTAAAATGGAAAAACAAATTGTAGGCCAGTTTTAGTACATGTAGTCATGCCAGCATAAAAACAAATCTCAATCCCAAAATCCAAATTAATCCAAGAAATGAACTGGCTTAATACAGGAAAATTATCAAGACCAAAAAACAATGGCTGGTATATCTTAACAACATTAGTGGAAAACAGTAGTCCATTGATAGTACCAACAGTGACTGTTAAATTAAGAGCAATTAGTAGAACAACAAGTGCCAGACCAGCCAACGAGAATGGAATGAGAAGTGCAAGATAATCATTACTACAGTCTCCACATTTATTAGAGCCTAACATAAGACTTAGACCTTCTTTACATTTTCCACACAATAGACCAGACCTATTTAGAGCACACTGCCTATTGGGATCACTCAATGGAAGAGTTATTGATGAATGTATGCAATAATCATATGGACATTCATCATTTATAGCTGTACAATTTTCATATACCCCCAACCAACTTATTCCTTCTTTTGTCACAGTAGCTGTGACACCATTGCAATCAGTAGTAAATGATAGGATATTATCATCACATTCACAAACCTGTGACTGTTGTGATAGATAGGTGCCAGGTAAGCAAGGGTTGACATTAACATTGATAGTAAGTGGAGGTTGAAAAAAGTTAGTCTCAAAATCAGTTAGTGTCACATTTATTGTCATTTTATCAGGATCACTACCCTCAACTGTGACCTCTTGAGTGAGATTAATGCACACAGCTGATGATATATTGTGATTAGATGGTGTTCTAGTACCAATTGAAACACTAACAGTGCCGGTTGTTGTATTATCATGCTGTCCAACTACAGCAACAATAAAAGGAACACTCTCTCCTGGTGTAGCTGACGCTGTCAAACTTTTGAGACTGCAATCAGGAGTGGCAGTATCATCACAAAAACAAACTTTTCGTGGACCTGATGATATGATAGAGAGCCCTGTTTGATTCACAAAAGTGCTAATGTCGGTAAACTGATGTTCAGTTATACTATTCTTACCTTGTAGGCATTTGCTTGTTGCTCCTCCGTAAAGGACTGAGCCAGCAATGTCAGCAGTGTTGTTCTCAAAATAAAAATACTTATGAGTGTCATCATTGATCTGTAACTGATAAAAACAACGATAAACTACTTGCTCTTTATCAGAATGAATTCCAGGTCCCAAAATCTGTTATACATTTATTGCTCCTCCACTATTGCTAGCATGATTGTCAGTAAATCTTAGTATTGAGCCAGGAGCAAGAAATAAGAAAGATGTTGAGATCATAAAAATTCCACTGCCTTTATAAGCCAAGTTATTATGAAAAATGTTGATCCCATAAAAAGTAACGTAGGTATCAGTGATTGCAAGACCACTACCCTCATTGTTGCTAATATTGCAGTTACTAATGACCACACTTTTGCCACTAAAAATTGCAATAATTGGGGTTTCATAAGTAGCTTCACTGATAGTATTTCTATCAAATGTAACATTGTGTACCATAATATGAAGCTGTTTATTGGCAAATGGATCTATGTTTATAAATAGTGCACTGCCAGAGATCCCCGAATTATGGCTTAATGTTGAAGAATTAAGATGAAATGTACCAGAAAAAGAACCAAATGATGCTATGTTTATTCCAACGAGTTTATTAAACGATACAAAACAGTTTGTCATGTATATAGATGGACTATAGCTATGTTCATTATCAAGAGTTGTATCATGATATAGTACTAACCCATATAAACTGCCAGTAGTTTTAAGACCAGTAACAAACAAATCATAGAGATTGGTAGAGCTTTTTACAAAAACGTTAGCTACTGAGTTATTGGCAGTGTAAAGACAATTCAAATGTATGCTAGTATTGTATTTATTCTGAGAGTTATCAAACCTTAGTCCAATGTAACGATTGTGTGTAATGTTTGTATGATTCATAACAAATTTTGTAAAAGACCCAGATCTAATTAACGAGACAAACATAACAGTAACAGTAGATGATTCATTGTTAGGACTACCATCATGATTGTTGTGATAAAAAGAAGAAAAAATAATGTGACAATTGCTCACTTCAACTGTGGCTAATGCACCTCCAGGGCTATCTTGTATTGACAGGTATTGTAGTGTAACATTCACTGAATATGATGTACAAATTGCACTGGAAGTAAAAGTATTAGAATCAGAATTAAATACTCTTCCACAGCCTTTAAATGTTAAATTCCCAATCTGTATATTGTCACAAATTGCAAACGCAACAGTTACATCTTTAGCGCATTGTATCACTACTGGTGATTCAAGTACAGTTTCATGTGGTCCTTCTTTCATTTCTCCTATTCCCTGAAATGATATATTTAATCTCCTGACAACATCTATACTGCTGTTTAAAGAGTGTGTACCAGGCAGGTAATAGAAAACCGATCCTACACTAAATGGTGTGGGTTCAGTAGAACACATGTATTCATCCAAAGTAAGGCAAGGGGAATCATTAGGACACAGAGAAGAGTTACCATTTGGATGAAAATATACATCTTGTCCAAAGAGAAGAGGACACTGAGTGGCTACAAACAAAAGGAAGAGCAACCTAGACATATCAGGCTAGCTTTCTCTGATCATGAGATTGTTTTGATAGGACTATCTATCTTATCATGCAATTTACACATACAGCTGTCAATCAATCATTTAGATTAACTTAATGAGTAGCCTTATTTGGCTGGAAAAAATTAATAATTATTATGACACCTGAAACCAATACCAAACAATTTTAGTCAACTGAGAATTATATGATGAAGATGCAGTGATTTGTACCTCCTAATTCTCTCCAACCTACAATATAATAAAATTGGCATAATAAATGGATATAATATACCATTTAATGATCATGCATAATGACATAAGGTTTACTGACCTTGCTTCCTCTGCCTCTTGCATTTCTGATCTCTCTTTATCTGTTAACTCTTTCATTTTCTCTCTATTGTCTCTAAATAATTATAAACAGTAAGAGATGGATATATGTGTAAATACATAATGTGTGTGCTCATTAGTACTTGTAATATATGACACGTCCATCATCATATGATAGGAATGATCTGTCAGAAGTGACAGAAATCCATTTCAACTCATACTCAATATCAGGACATGATACCTCAACTGGAAATGATTCACTCTAAGAATGGAGAGAGAAAGAGTACATGTATCTTTAAGATGCTTTTAATTAACCTTCGTGTAATAGATGTGCTCAACAGGAATTCCACTGAGCTCTGACAGCTTGAAAAACAATAACCATTAATGTAAAGGTGGGTTTACAATATGAGCTAGGCCGATCAAGCTATCAATTTTTTTAATGAAAAGCTTGGGCTAATTAACATTTTTACGCATGCCTTACGCTCCAGTTAAACCAAAATCAACTCTAGCATCAAAGTAAAATCAGGACTAGCATAATTGTAAATCCGTCTTTATTATAATTGTAAATGCTATGTGTACATACCCTTTCAATAACATGCTCAGGATCATAATACTTATCCAGTATAATTTCTCCTACTGAATCAAATGAACATTGTGATGGATGCCATCTTATAACATACACTTGTACATGTGTATCGTACTCTGGCTCTAATTAAATATATAAAAATTAATAATACTAACAGTATAAATACGAACACTTGAAATATACTTCAAATGCTAATACATACTTTTACATACTGACCTTTCAACAATTCCACATATATTTCTCTACTAGTATCAATTAACTGATGATCAAGATATATTATACCAGGAGACACTCCATTCTTGTAACGTAATCTCATTCTATACACAATGAGTCATATGATAGGCACATGATGTATTTACTTGTCCAATTCAAGGGCACTGTTAATTCCTTGTGCTTTTGCTTCTTCAATAATTTGTTTTTTAAATTCTCTTACTGGTGTACCCATAGCAACAATGGACTCCATCATGAAACTACAGAACTGAAAAAATGTTAATGCACGATTACATACATGTATCATGCATTATAAAATTTGCAAGGGCCATAATTTGCTCAAAAGTATATTCTGCAGATTTAATGCTTGCAAATTTACACTATCTACCACTTTTACCATATTAAACTGATTTAATGAAATCGCAAACCAGCAAAATTCATTCAAAAATTTTGCACTGATTCTTACCTCTGTATTGCTAACTTGCAATAAATATATTGTAATTCTGAGCTCTCCTTTTCTTAATGCTCTACCCAGTCTTAATATTAACTAATGGATAGCAAAGTAATAAAGAAATGTGTGTCGATACAAATGGAAATCAAATAATACATTAAATTACCTCTGATCCAGGCTTAATATTCATTAATTTATCATTCAGTTTGATTTCATATTGTAAATTATATCTGATTATAAAATCATTGATACACACTCTAAAACCAGTAGGTGGTACACCAATCAGTGGAATTAGGTCTTCCTTCAATTCAGCTATTGTTACTCTCCTATGAACTTGTAGCTTTATCTCTGAATTGAAAAATTATAATGTGTAATTTACATGTACACATATAATATTTTTATTACTTCTTTCTTTTCCTTTAATTTCTTCATTCGCTGATATTTTCATTATTATTCCTCTTCCAGTTGTATCAGTTGTAAAGGAAGTTGCTTTAGCTGGTTGAGGAGGCATTGTAATGTTCAGTAGCATTGAGTTGACATAAAAATCAACATATTTGTACATCAAACTATCTTTGAATTCTTTCTGGTAATCTTCATGATCTGACAATACATACATATAGATCTGAGAGAATGTATGTGTGTTTGTGAGTGCAAAGAGGAAAGATGAAAATAATAAATTGATAAAATAATACAGCACTGGCAGGGAATTAATACTAAATCAAAATGTTATGGCTGTATATCCCAACAGAGTTTGGACCAAATAACAAAAGTGGAAGCAACTAGTCAAAAAGGGGAGGAGTCTGGCTACGCAAGACTAGGAAGCAACTGTGTGGAACTTTCAATGGCAGTGACACAATACACTGTGTCATAAATGATGCTGATGAAATTTTGTACCTACCTACCTACATATTACATGTAGGCAAGGCCTCAAAAATGCTCATAAAAATGATTGTCATGATATCAAATTTCACTAGAGCATAGTTTATAAGGAAACTAGGTCAGGGTTCCCAATATCACTGAGATGTTTATCTAAACTAACTTTATGGTTTGTTCTATAAAGTTTAATGATTTCATTCAATATAATTCCTGCATCTCTAAGCTCATGAACTAAAGTAGCACCAAAGTAATCCTCCTCCTCCCTTGCTAATCTCATACATGATGAATTGATGTTGAATACCTAAAGACCAGGTCAATGGAGACAGGGAAGGAGAACAATATATAAATGACAGAATATATCCTTCCTTCAGTACATCCTTCCTCTTACTTCTCCTATATGTTGTTTTAATTCTCCAACAGTCCAACTTTTTTCACTTCTCATTTGTTTAGCTGGTCCTACTTCACCAGTTGACAGATCAACCACTGATATCTCTAGGTTAATACCTACACTATTCAACACAAGTATTATACATGTACATGAATAATTAGAGGTAATGCTATGATAACAAGGCACACCCACCTCCATGGTTGTATTTCTTACAAATTTCAAATTTATCACGAGTTTCTAAGAATAAACTCAGAGGATAATGATAACCAGCAATCTGTCCAATAGTTTGATGTTGAAACTAAATTAAAATTACAACAATAAGTTACATGTAAAAAAATAGAAGTACATGTACGTACCTCATCAAGATCAAAGGACTGATCCATTACTTCATTATTATGATCATACTTAACTAAACGACATCTCTCAATAGGAACATGAGGAGCCATATTCATTAACTGATGAGAAAATGAGGAGAAAAGAAATGAAAAACAAAGTGATGATAATAATTTAACCTTATAAGCTTTATCCAGTACTTGGGGCAGTAATTCATTTTTATGTACTTCAAGTGTTGACTCCATTAATTTACCAGTAACAGGATGATTACAGTATAACGAGAACTATAAAATACAAGTATATGTATATACATGTACATTGTCTGTCCCACTCTTACTTTACGCATTTCTGCTTGAATTATTTGTTCCTTTTCTCTTTGTCTTTTTCCCTCAGCCACTTTCAAATCTTTTTAAAATTGGAATGATGACACATACAAATGTACATTGTCAAAAAACCTTTAATATCTATCTTAATCTTCTCATTGCATTCTCTTTTAGTAATCAGTTCCATATTCATTAATGTTATTTTTTCTTGTAATATCTCTATTATTCTTTTATCATCTACTAATGGCTGATAGTCTGGACTTGTCATTGCTTGGAGTTGAACCTTGCAGTCTTCAATTTCAAACTCCATTCCTCTTCTCACTTTACTGGCAGCTTTAATTAATTAATATAAATTAAGAAAAATAAAATGCAGTACTCTAACCTGAACCAGTACAACTAGAAAGTGATCTCAAATGATCACGATCAAACTTCATTTTTGATAATTTGTCCCGTAATTCTTTATTTTCTTTCTTCATCTTTTGAGACAGAGACATTAATACAATCAAATCTTCGTTAAGTGGTTCTTCCTATTACACATACAACATGTATAATGAATAGAAACTATATTGAAATATTTATAACTCAACCAGGGTTTCCCACAAAGCATGCTACACTAAACTACATGCTTGAGCTGACAAACACTACAACACACAGTACATGGCATTTGAAGCAACTTCAAAAAATTTATTGAAACATTTCAGTTTGGTTTTGATTGGAATCAACTCAAAGTTGATATACAGCATGCATGTATCAGTAAAAATTATGAAAAATTAAAAATTTTCTTCTAGCTATTTTTGGCAAAATTTGGCCAAAGATCAAATTAAGGCTAGAGCCTTTGGTTGTTGGCCTGATTTTGGAGCAACTTTACAAATTTATAAAAAATACAAATTTGATACACAGTATTAGGACATTTATATGCATTAAAATTATTAAAATGGAGAATTCTCTCTTAGAGATTTTTGACAAAATCTGGCTGCTAGCCTTTGGTTGTTGGCCTAATTTTGAAGCAAATTTAAAAATTCATAAAAAATCCAAATTTAATTAGGATTAGCTTAAAGTTGATACAGACCATAAAGACATGTATATGCATCAGAAAAAATATAAAAGTAGAGAATTACTTATGACTTTTGTCACAATACCCTGTGCCAGATGTTGCACATCTACTGGAATTTTCGTGTACTTGTATTTACTTGTATTTTGAAAAAAGCAGGTCGTGTATGTACTTGTATTCATCGGCAAATTTTCATGTATGTATATTTACTTATTGCTTCCCAAATTCGTCTATATTTTGGTGATTTTTCATTTACTTTTCATGTATCCTGTACTTAGATGTTGAGTCATTGAAAGGATAATATTTTTACTACCTTTTCTATTGCTGTTTTCATCATCTGCTATAGCTAGGACTAAAAAGACCAACAAAAATCCTTGGTTAAGCAAACTAACTGCCATTTTGACTGCTACGTGGACACACCCTTTAATTATTAATAGTTAATATAAATACATGAAAATCGTCTCCTCGGACTCCGTCTACTTATTTTTGGTCTTGTATATACTTGTATGTACTAGAAGACCTGTTTTTCGTCTAAATACTCATGTATCGTGTATACACGTGCAACGTCTGCCCTGTGCTATATAATAGTACAGGATCTTTGGCACAGTTTTTGAAAAAATTATTATCAGTACCTCAAGTTAGCTTAGTACGCTATTAATTGTGTGTCATAATAATTTTTGCAGAAAATAATTTTACAAATTTAAATTTTGTAGTTTTAATAGCTATTGTGTTGGTGACAAGTCCAGGTTAGGGTTTCCTTGGCATAGTGTTCATGCTGTTTTTTGTCAGTGGACTGTCAATTTTTTTGTTGTTGATACCGTAATCTCTCTAAATATGTCACGGTCTAAATTTGAAAATAAACAAATTGTTTCAAATTTTCTACCATAATTTATTCTAAAATTTTGTTTTTAACATTATTGCTCGACATGGTTCCAATTTTATCACTTACCTCTAAGTTCAATACGAGAGAAGAATACTCTGAATAGCCAGGTTAGCAGACAGCTGGTTTTGTGTATTAATAAATCCTTCCAAATTCAACAAAAAAATTAGTTTAAAAGCTTCATTACTACTCTCCCTCTAAAAATTAAAAATACAAAACTTAATTTTTAGAGGAAGTACAGTAGTTCTTGTTTCAATTTCATTGCTTTCCTAACACAAGAGCACTAAAGTGTATACCCTTGCCACAATCTGTATTAACTGTAGTTTGTTTGGTTAGAATAAATGCAAAAAAGTGAGAGTGAAACTAAATTAGTGGAAATTCTGAGACAGAAAAAAGCTTGAGTATGTTGGCTGCACTGCTGCAGCAAAGTCTTTGTGTGGCTGCATTGAAGGTGTGCCTCAATCAAACCATGCTCCACCCGCACATACAGTAAATGGTGGTACAGGGCCCTAAGTGGTGAAGAAAGCTTTAGTTTATCACAACTTTTAAACAGTTTAGCATACATTTGTTAGGCTCTATTTGTTGCATACTCACCTCTATTGAGTCCCTGATGTTTAAAGACTCTCGCCGCTACTTCTGGAGAAGAGAGCCTAGACTAAGTGTAAACTCACAAGGTATAAATGTTTGGGCTATCAGATCTTAAAAACGAAGAAGATTGGAGCAATTTCTTACATATTAATGAAAGATGAGCTTTTGTTTTATTGTTTCAACTGTCCTGCTGCTCTTTAGCTTTGACCACAAAAGAGATATAATTGTACCAGGTCAAAAGTGCACTTCAAGTGAACTCACAGACAGGACGACTGCTTTACCCTCCTTGATTCACGCCTATGCGTGGCTTGGGTAATAATGTAAATGATCACATTTTAGTTACATGCATGCAGTTTGGCAGCATAAAATACATATACATGCACTCATGACGTACTGTACATGTATATGTACATGTATATACCTTCTTTTTGCTACTAATAGCATTTCTTAGTTTACATTTAGCCTCTTCAAGTATAATATATGAAATAACCTGTAATGATAAAATCTTTCATTGTTTTATTTTATGCACATTATGCACATGACATGTACATCAATGCTAAACTTAATTATTCATTAACTGACCTCTGTATGTTGTAGTAAGTCTTGATCCTCTTTTTTTAGTTCCTATGCAAAACAATGTTCATAAAACAATATTCAGCTATTCAAATTATGTACCTTTTGTCTAACATCCTGTCTCCTCCATAATGTTAAGTTACCAATACTCAGTTTCTTTAATCCTTGTCCCATTAGTATATGAATATTCTCTATCATCCTCAATACAGTAAACCCAACATCAAAAAAAGGAAACGAGCAAGTGACACATATTGACTCGGAAGGCTCTATATACTGAATCCTCAGCAGTTTACCAGATGCTTTTGCAAGGAGCTCCTTGATATCTTTGAGTACATGTTTCTCAGGCTTCCAATCAAATACAAGTATGACTGTTTCACATTGAAGATGAGAGATGGAAGAAAACCTTTCCTTCAGACAAAGACTGACAGAAAGCGACTTGCAGAATTCTTCTAATTCTGTTCTGTAAGTCTTAATGTGTTCCTCTGCCTCACTCACTTTCATTTCCTCCACTACACTATGAAGGAGTGCAATATTAGTCAGTGAACACTCATTTTGGATTAGATGCAGGACACTAGAAATATCCCGACACTTCTTAACTTTTTCACCAAGAACAGTACCACAACAAGACAAAAATTCCTTTAATTCCTTTAGAGAACAGCGCTTCTGTTTAATAATCTTGCCAACATTGTAAAACATGCTTCCATAAGACATTCTCATTGAGGTAAAGTTCTCCAGTAAGGATTCTGATACAGGAACATGTAGCTTATTAACTACAAAAAATATTAATACTTTTGTAGTATGTATAAAAGGTATATATATAATACCTTGAGGTGATAAAGTTTGTGAACATGAATTACTAGCAATTGCTGCATCAGATGTGTATAAATTAAAATAAATTAAAAATGACATTACTCTTTGTTTAATACATACCAGATGGTGTTGTCTTAGTGTCATCAGTACTCGACTACTCGTATTATCTATAAATATTAATTAATGAATGTATCATCATTTCCTTAAAAATTATTACCTTCTGGAACCATATCAATAGTCTCAGGAACCAGACCCACTTCAGGAGTAGGAAAATATTTACCTAAACAGATATTAAACAAAGATTTGTCAATAGTTATGATAATGAACAGCATGTACATGTACACGTATGTACTTTTGTCATGCAGCATGTACTCACTAATATCATCCAGTATATCTTGTCCTAGTGATACATTAGTACTCATTGTACATAATATATTAGCAAATGTATGTAAACTGTTGGGATCAGTTTGAACAGCTTCTTTGACAGCAGTTAATAGAGCCTCACGTTGATTAGAAATAGAGGGACTAGCTGACACCACTCTGCTAACTGCTTCTTGTGCTAACATATGTTCAGCATAAAGTAACCAAGCAATACTAACAGAATCACAAAGAGACTGAGACAGGACAGTATGACGATTATTGAAAATATTAATAAGAACATCATGTTCTATGATCAAAAATACAAATATTATTAGAATTACATAGAGCTACGATTCACTCACTTAACTTCTCAGCTACAGCAGTTTCATTCATAGATTGTAAAGCATCTGACAGTGAGTCCAAGTTGGCTCCTCCTCTACTGTCGGCAACATTATCAGCTCTACCTAACCATTGGGAGAGGCACTCTGTCATACACCTAGATACATCATGAGGATGATTCTTTTCTACGACGTCCAGTGTCTTCTTTAGTAGTCCTAGTCTCAGGCCAAGCTCATACCATCTTGTTTCTGGAAAGCCACATCTCTTTAATAAATCAAGAACATCAATTAAGTCATTGACACCAATTGCAGAACCTGAATAAAAAACATGACTCTAGTCGATTAAGATGGATACCTCTCAGAGTACCTAAACAAGGTTGACTAGTGGCCATATTATAAGTGGACCCTATCCTGAGGCCCGCTAGAGGCCGGCAGGGTCAGGCTGGACCGCTGGAGCCATAGACCCTGTAGGGTCTATGCTAGAGCCACTCAAATCAGACGGGGGTGGGTCAAATAAGAGGCGGGGCCAGGCAGATTAAAAAAGGTGGGGCTGGATCTGCACAGAATTCTGCATTCTACATTCTGCTTTCAAGCTCTTATTTGTGTAGAAGGTTGAGCTAATTGCAATCAAATTTTTAAAATTGCTCCAATATCAAACCAAAGGGTTTTTGGCCAAATTTCAACAAGATCGCTAAGATAAAATTTATTACATTTTCTGATGCATACACATTAATTAAATTGTGCGATCAAATTTTTTATAACCTTTAAATAGCATGTGGACATAGCTAATATTCTATCAAGATTATCATTATCCCAACCAACAACAAATGGACAAAGCAAAATTACATTACATAAATAAAGTGTATTTAGAAAAGCTCTTATAACTATTGATTAATTCAGTAAAATTGCAATACATAAATAAAAAACCTTGAACTAATGTATCTCAGTCAGAAGCAATATTTTTGGGTATGCTGTGATTCAAATTCCCTAATCCTCAGCAACCTACAATGCAATAAAATGAGTACATTAATACATTAATATGAGTGTGACACCTTGATACATGTTTCAGTATTATTATGACAAAATAAGTAATATAAATTGTGTAATTAAATTTCACAAATGCTGTTCCCAAGTTTCATTTAGAAATAATAGTTAATTAATTTAAGTCAATTAACTGAATCACAACAATCACACTATATTGTATTACTGGTAATTTTGGAGGGGTAAAATTTTGGCAAATTGCTTAATTTTTGATAAGCGGAGGAATTTAATTTGGCAAATTTGTGGGTGAGCAGGTGCATAAATGGTTCAAATGGCTGTCAAAATTCCAAATTTGTTATAATTCCCCTGCCTCAGCAATTAATGGTATAATGTATGCAATAAAATGTAATGATCGATGCACCATTAACTGACTGTACATACAAGGTTTACAGACCTTGCTTCCTCTGCATCTTGTATTTCTGATCTCTCTTTATCTGTTAACTCTTTCATTTTCTCTCTATTGTCTCTAAAATTATTATAAACAGTATAAAAGATGTATGTAAGTTCACTATCCAGATATTCTGTTTAAATTTCTTCGGATATTTGCTGGATAGCTAATTAATAATAGTTATTAATGACTGAAAGCAAGTTTTCCATTCCCCAGGATGCTATTCTTGTACATTTCTGGTAGTTATGAAGCTCAAAAAAACTAATAAGTGGCTGAATAAGTTGGTAGCTTGAGGAACTTCTTTATTCCTAGTCATTAACTGATGGAAATGCATTAATTAATTATAAAATCTAGTTATTAAGCTTTAATTATCCTATTTGTCAATAATTACTATCCGGATACTAAAATAATAAATGGATATCCAGATAATCAGGATATCTGTTTCAGCTCTAGTGCATACATTAATAGTGTGTATGTGTTCATTAGTACTTGTAATATATGACGCATCCATCATCATATAGTCGTGAGTATATGAATGAGTCGATGGAATTCCATTTTAACTTATTCTCAAAATTAAGACATGATATTTTAACTGGAAATGATATTTCCTAAAAGTCAGAAATAAAGAAAGTATCCTCTCAATATATCACATTTTAATATACCATTGCATAAAAGAGATGATAAACTGGAATTTTCGATTCACTCAACTCTGACAACTGTAAAAAACAATAAACAAAATGATTAATACTGAATTGCAAAATTTAATGATTACATGTACATGTATAGCAATTTAAAATCATAACATGAAAACCTGCTATTTTGAAATATTAGTGTGCTTAAAATTTGCCACTGCATCAACTCATTATCTCTTCACTCTCTCTCATTCCCAGGGGTGTATCCAGCAGGGGCTGAGAGGGGCTTGAGCACCCCCCTCATGGCTGGGCTCAGAAAAAAATTACTCCAATCCTGGACTTTTGCATCACTACCAAGCCTCCACCTGATCATAATTTTAGCAGTTTCCAGTGCTTTAAGGAGCGATCAGAAGTCATCAGAAGTACCAGTATGCTTGAAATTATTTTGACGCCACCCGTAATTCACGAAAATGAAAGAAAACGCCATTTTACTGCTGCAAAAAGAGGTGTGGCCAAAATCGCGGCGTGCTTCACGCACCCTCAGCACCACCCTTTCCAAATTTCCAGATACGCCCCTGATTCCCTCAATGTGCATTTATGTTAATCTTTTAGGGTAAATATGCACACAGTTATATTATTTAAAAATTAATAAAAAATACTTATTGCAACAAGAAAAATCTTACAATGATATTAATCTAGTGTTACAATGAAAAATAACTACATTGTATAATCAATAACTTTACTTAATAGTATTTAGATACCTTTTCAATGATATGCTTAGGGTCATCACTGTCCAGTATAATTTCTTCTATTGGATCAACTGAACATTGTGATGGACGCCATCTTATAACATACACCTGAACCAGTCCTTCACGCTTCTTCTTCTCTGACCCTAATAAAGAATAGACTACTCATGATTAACTCTCTTTTTAATGAAAAACATGACTACATAAGGACAAGGTGCTTTACTTGGTATAGTAATCTTGCATTGATATACATGTAAATGGAAATACATCATAATTGCATTTTACTGTTAGAGCACTAGTCTATATACAGGCCTAAAGGTCAAAGCTACAACAAAATAGCTGTAACTTTTTGATTTTAATTTTTCCCTGATCGTAGTCTATGCATGTTAGAGCATGGTTGGTTGGTTACTACAAATAGCATGCCTTAATTGCTTTTGGCTTTACCCATGCTGTGCTACATTTCATGTGTTAACCTCTAATCTATGATCTAACTATACATTTAAATATAAAATATAATTGATTAAAGTTATATAACAGACCTTTTAATGTTTCCACATACAACTCCCTATTAGTAGTAATCAACCGATGATCAAGATATACCATACCAGGAGATATTCTATTCTTCTTACGTAATCTCATCCTATACAACAAGTCACATAATAGTCACATGATGTACTTCTTGCAGGGTTTCCCACAATGCTTGCTGAGTGAGCTAAACATTGTGCTTCATGAGCTGACAAGCAGTATACATGGCATTTGGACCAAATTTGTTGGAATCAGCTCAAAGTTGATACACAGCATAAGGAAGTGTATAGGTATAAGAAATAGTTACAAAAATGGTCAATCCTCTCCTAGCCATTTTTGACAAAATTAGGCTAGATTTTTGAACAAATTAAAAATTTATAATTTGTTTGGAATAAGCTCCAAGTTGATACACAACATATGAGCATGTACAGTATGTGTATCAGAGAAAATTATAAAAATTTTCAAAGCCAATTTCATGAAATTTGGCTAAATACCAAAGGCTATTGGCTTTGGTTATTAGCTTGGTTTTTGAGCAAATTAATAAATTAATTAAAAAATCCAAATTTGATTAAAATTAGCTCTAAGTTGATACACAGCATAATGACATGCATTTGTATTTAAAATAACTATATAAATGGAAAATTCTCTTATAGCCAATTTTGATGTGACTTGGTTTTTGGCCTGATTATTTAGCAGCTTTAAAAATTCATTAAAAAATCCAGATTTGATCAAAACCAGCTCAAAATCATAAAACTGGAGTATTCTTTGCTTGTGGGTTTTGTCAAAATATCATGTACTACATGTATATGTATATTGCACAAGGTTTTTGGCCCAATTGTTTAGCAGCTTGAAAAAAGCTGCATGAGCATTATGCCAAAATTCTGTGGGAAACCCTTCCCAAAATTCTGTGGGAAACCCTTCTTACTTGTCAAATTCAAGGACACCATCAATTCCTTGTACTTCTGCTTCTTTAATAATTTGTTTCTTAAATTTTCCCACTGGTATACCTTCTGTAACAACAGATTCCATCATATATTTGCAAAACTAAAAATAAAATTATATTAAAATGTTTACACATTAGTTCTTATATTACCTCTGTATTGTTAACTTGTAATAAATATAATTCAATTCTGCACTCTCCATAATGTAATGCTCTACCTAGTCTTACTATTAACTAGAAAACAAAGTAATGAAGAGATTGATTTACAATGTATGTCTTATCTGTTTTTATACATGTAGTAGATACATGTACATGTATTTAAAAGAAGAAGTGAATGAAATAACATACTACACTACCTTTGATCCAGATTTGATATCCTTAAATGACCCATCCAGATTCTCCATTTCATATTCTTCATTATATCTGATTCCATACACTCTGAAACCAACAGGTGGTACACCAATCAGTGGGACTAGTGCCTCCTTTAGTTGAGCTAATGTTATTATACCAACTTTTACTTGTATAACTGTAGCAAATGATATAACTTTAAAATTGATATTATTATCAAAAATATACATTTATTCAATATTACTTCGTTCTTTTCCTTTCTTTTCTTCATTTGCTGATATAATTTTCATTACTTCATTATCTCTACATGTATTAGTTGTAGTGGAAGTGGCTTCAGGTTCAGGAGGTATTGTAATGTCCAGTAGTATTGAGTTGATGTGAACATCAATATATCTGTACATCAAGCTATCTTTGTATTCTTTTTGATAATCTTCGGGATTTGATGATACATAAATCTGAAAAGAGTGTTTTCAAAGGAATACAAAAAATGAAATAAAGAGAATAATTAAATGATCATGGTTAGATACATGTATTTCTTATCCACCAAATCCATGTAAATGGGATGCATGATTATCATAGACTTTTTAATGATATTCATTTGATTACCATGAATGAAAAAATTATTCTGGCCGCCATGATGGGGGTATACATGTACTTTGTACAGTGTTCAATGGAGAAGAGGTGTTAGTTTGTTGTTTTTTCAGCAGCACAAAGGAGCTGCATTTAGAGGGAAAAGATTACAACTATAATCTACATTTCTGTACCACTGCAACAATTAGGAGCCTCTAAGTAACAGGGAAAAGCAGATAAGGCAGATTTTAGCCTTTTGGTCTATTGGTTACTGTATAGTTTATACCCCCAAAATGGCGGCCAAGAAATTCTTTTGTTTTTACGGTATTCCTATGAATATTATTAATCTAGTTAACGGGGATCTGGTGGATAAGGAATTTGATAAAAAATTAATCCATGTTTACATGTAATATACACATTCTAGTGACTGCTAATCACAATACATGTACAGTATCATCAATACATCATTACTGTTGAGTACCATATACTGTTTATTTTTGAGGTGAAAATTTTGTGGTTTCTTGCTCTGTCACAAAATTGTTCCACCGCAAAATTCTGCATTTCCATTGCCATGTGGTGCAGTCTGCAAGCTATTCGCAAAAATTAATTCTGCAAAATTTTAGACATGTAAGATTCACAAAATTTTTCTACCGCAAAAATAAACCAGTATACGGTAGTATAAATACTGATATTTAGTACCTTTTTGCATTGTTTATATATACCATATATGTCTTCTCTATAGAGTTTAGTTTTTAATAAAGAACCATCTTCATATCTAATATCTTGAACTGAGGTATCACCCATGTATTCCTCCTCCAATACTAATCTCATACATGATGAATTGAGATTAAATAGCTAAAGAAATTACAAAAGACAATAGGGAATGTACATGTACACTTGTAAATGAGACATCTACAGTGCATGGTTTCGCCCCAGTAGCTATTACCCACAACATGTATGCAACAAGTACAAATTTAAGAATGCTAAACAGCTTTGAGTATACATACAGTGGGGAAGATAATAATAGTTACACTTTTGAAAAGAATGGACAGTAGACAGATAGCCAAACTATCTACACGTAATTCCTCACATGCATAAAACATGAGGGAGGCAAATAACAGCTAGTACATGTATATCCTTCCACTTACTTCTCCTATATATTGTTTTAATTCTCCAACAGTCCAACCTATCTCTGCTCTCATTGTTTCAGCTTGTCTTACTTCACCAGTTGACAGATCCACAACCAATATCAATAAATTAATGCCTAAAAAATTGTGTTATTATAGTTAAAGGCATTAACATAGTAGTACCCATGCATATGCAACCAGATGTACACACCTCCATCATTGTATTTTTTAAAAGTTTTGTTTTCTTTACAAATTTCTAAAAATAATCCAAAGAAATTATGAACTCCAGCCCTGCCAATAAGCTGCCCAATAGTTTGATGTTGAAACTAAATTTAAATTATCATTATAAAATAGGATAGATAAAATGTACCTCTTCAAGATCAAAGGACTGATCCATAACTTCTTTAATATAATTATACTTAACTAAACGACATCTCTCAATAGGAATATGAGGAGCTAATTCCATTAACTGATGAGGAGCACAAAAATAAAGAATAAATAAAAAATAGATTTCTACAAATGAGAGACCTCATAAGCTTTATCCAGTACTATGGATAGTAATTCTTCTTTATGCGTTTCCAGCACTGCATTCATTAATTTACCAGTAATAGGATGATTACAGGATAGTTTGTACTAAAAACAAAAGTAATTAGATACATGTAGTTTATACCATATAGCTAGAAAACTTGGAGTGTTAAAATTTGGCAAATTGACTAAGAGATTGGAGGTTAAAATTTTGGCAAAATTGGAGACTAAAAATTTGGCAAATGGACCTCAATTTGCCAAATTAGCTACAATTTTACACTACCAAATTTTCTAGCTGTATGGTACATGTGCATGTACATTGAGACTCTTACGTTACACATTTCTTTTTCCACTTTAGGCTTCTTTTCTCTTTGTCTTTTATGCTCAGTCTCTTTCAAATCTATTAAATATTACCGGAAATTTTGGAGGGAATTAAATTTGGTAAATTGGCGTTTTGATAGCCATTTTTGAAAAAAATCTGCCATTTTCAGCCATTATGTGCATGCTCAATGGTATGTGACCACAAATTTACCAAATTAAACTCCGCCAATCACTAAAATTTAGCAATTCCCCAAATTTTACTCCCTCCAAAATTTCCCACTATACGGTAGCAATCAAAAACACACCATTATAACCTTTAGTATCTTTTATAGTCTTCTCATTGCGTTTTCTTTCCATAATCAGTTCCGTATTCATTAATGCTATTTTTTCTTGTAAATTCTCTATTATCCTTTTATTATGTACTAATGGCTGATAGTCTGGACTTGTCATTGCTTGGAGGTGAAATTTGCAGTCATCAACTTCAAGAGCCATTCCTCTTCTCACTTTGCTAGCAGCTTTAAAATAATTATACAAGTATTAGCCTAAATACATAATGAATTATACTCTAACCTGAATCCGTGTTACTAGAGAGTGATCTCAAATAATCAACCTTCATTTTTGATAATTGGTCAGATAATTCTTTGTTTTCTTGTATTATTTCATTAAACTGACAGCTCAATACAGTCAACTCTTTATCAAGTGGCTCTTCCTATCAAAATTAGCATAATTAATACAAACTAGTGAGATACATGTATATCTATACTTCAATTGATTGAGTATCACTTTGAACAGACATTAATTCTTCCTAATAATCAAAATAGCACATGCATATAAACTACAAGGCATATGATCATATTACATTAATCAACAACTAAGATTTATGCACAAAGTTGCAAATAGGAATTAAGATTAAACTTCTAACCTCAGGTACATGCACTTGAGCCATTGATATTTTTTGTTTCAATTCAATTGTGTCCTACATGTATATACATACAACTTGCATTATAGCACAAGTACATGACATTGTTGACATACGGTCACATACCTTCTCTTTGCTACTGATAGCATCTCTTAGTTTATATTCAGCTTCTTCAAGTACAATATAAGAAATAACCTGTACACATATTTAAACTGGGTCATAACAGCAGCTGCACAGTTTGTGATACTGTACAGGTAGGGCTAGGATTACTATATTAACTAACTTCAGTATGTAGTAGGTCATCATCCTTTTCTTTTGGTTCCTATACAAAACAATATTCATAAAACAATATTCAGCTATTCATATACCTTTTGTCTAACATCTTGTCTCCTCCATAATGTTAAGTTACCAATAGTCAGTTTCTTTAATCCTTGTCCCATTAGTATATGAATATTCTCTATCATACTCAATACAGTAAACCCAACATTAGAGAAAGGAAAGGAACAAGTGACAGATATTGATTTGTGAGGCTCCATATACTCAATCTTAAGAAGTTTACCAGACACTTTTGCAAGGAGCTCCTTGATATCTTTGAGAACATGTTCCTCAGGCTCCCAATCAAATACAAGTGTGACTGTTTCACATTGAAGATGGGATATGGAAGAAAACCTTTTCTTCAGACAAAGGCTGATAGAGAGTGACTTGCAGAATTCCTTTAACTGAGTTCTATATGTCTCATTATATCTTGTAGCATCTGTGACCTTCATTTCTTCCACTACACTATGAAGAAGTTCAATATTAGTCAGTGAACACTCATTTTGAATTAGATGCAAGACACTAGAAAGATTGCTGCATTGTTCTGCTTTTAGTCGAAGAACATTGCTACAGCAAGAAAGGTATTCTTTTATTTCTTCTAAAGGAGGAGACTTCTGCTTAATAATCTTGCCAACATGGTAAAACAAGCTTCCAAAAGACATTCTCATTGAGGTAAAGTCTCCCATTAAGCCTTCTGATACAGGGATTTGTACTTCAACTATACAAAAGATATTATTACATTTGTAGTAGTATAAAAGGAACCTTATATATACCACTTATATTTTATAGATAATAAATTTTGCTAATTTTGCAGGTGGAAAGAATTAAAAAAACTAAATTTGACTTTATTTGCTACAGCTTGTTTCGTAAAATAGATAGGTCATTTCGTGAATTTTTATCTGCAAATGCTTAACAGAAAAAATTCAAATTTTATGCATACAAAGTACAAGTGGTACATATACATGATATATGCCGTATAGTGCAAAATCTTCGAGAGCTGTAAATTTCAGATTTGTGAAAATTACTTCAGCAAAAATTAAATTATTAGGGCACAAAATGGCAGACGGTATAAATTCACAAAAAATTAAATCTGCGAAACAGATTTTTAGGCAAATTTGTGAAATTTATAGGCCTCAAAAATTTTGCACTATATGGTACCTTGAGGTGATAAAGGTTGTTTAATGACTATCGGCCTCCGGAAACCTCAAATGAGGAGGGAGGAGGTTTGGAATTTCGCGAGGGCCACTCCCCGAGATCCTGCCTGTAACCACAGCCGAGGGGTTGGTAACAACCCCAGGAGTACATGGATAAGACCAACCGCATCAACGGTAGGAGCACAGCTGGTCATGACATATCAGTGCTGCCGAATGGTCCAGCACCAACAGCATGATGCCATGGCTGTGAGGGAACATGGATAAGACCAACCGCATCAACGGTAGGAGCACAGCTGGTCATGACATATCAGTGCTGCTGAATGGTCCAGCACCAACAGCATGATGCCATGGCTGTGAGGGAACATGGATAAGACCAACTGCATCAACGGTAGGAGCACAGCTGGTCATGACATATCAGTGCTGCCGAATGGTCCAGCACCAACAGCATGATGCCATGGCTGTGAGGGAAGCATCTGAGCATGCTGCACCGGCAGGTGTCCCATAGCATGTCAGAGCCACCGACTGGTCCATCGCTAACAGTGAGAGCCACAAATGTGCAGGTGGGCATATGGATATGCCCATCACAACCAAC